CTCTGGTTTACTTGAGGTGAGCTGGGCTCACTCCTGCAGACGCCACTTTGGCAGACAAATCCGGCGGAACCACAAAGGCCAACTAGAGGATAGAAAGACATCATTGAGCGATTGGGATTCGGAGCCGGAAATCGAAAGAAGCTCACGAGCAGCGTCGCCACAATCTCCAGTGCCGACACAGCGTTGGTTCGCCTTCGCATTTCCGCTGCCTATGTTCAAAGTTAACGTCCAGGACGACAAGGACTTTGGGAGACGGAGATTGGTACTCACACTGTTGAGCAAGTGCGCCCGTCGCAGTAATGGCGAGGATAGCGAAGACAGCAGAGAGCTTCATAATAACAAGTATTCGAGTAGAGTGAATAGCGGGGACTACCTCGGTGGTAAGAATGGAGAATGAGTGTCAGAGCTGGGGGACTGGAGGCTTTTATACCTTTTGTTTCGTTTGGTTACCCCCCGGGCCCCACTCAGCCACTGGCAGCCAAACATTCTGACCTACTAGTGTTTACCTTACCGGACCTCGCGATGTGGAGACTGGACGTAAAGTACGGGAATACGATAGATGGCATCAACATTAAACCTGATATGAACGGTCGAGACGGGCGGAAGACTCAGGCGCCTCGCTCGATCCACTCTCGGGAACTTGAGCCGCCTCCGACGTTTCAACAGATGTCTTTTAGCTCCCGCTTTCCGGTCTTGTCGCTTCCAATGCCTAAGAGAAGAAGTCGTTGGTCAGCTTAAGCGTCGGGCCAAGGACAACAGATACTAAAACCTTCACCTGGATCAATAGAGTTTCTTGTCTTTCTCATCGTACCGGCGTGTTCGGTTTTACTGTACGTCCGAGATAACGAATTAGGAAGCGTCCTCAAGTATTCTCTCTGAGGGTATAGTGTCGTAAGCTGAGGTTCAACCATTACTTTGCTCTCGACCTGATACCAAGGTGTATACCAGTGTCTTAGATCGCAGCCCATGATATGACTATCAATTTCGCGTCGACTGAGCAATATTCCTCAAGTTTACTTCAACCGTAATTAACTGATTGGATGGCTATCCCTCGATGTTGGGAGGGATTAGTGAGATGTTATGTGTGGCTTTGTTCAAGAATAGGAACGAGCAAAGAGAGGCAGAGCTAAGGGTGGCTTTTACACCTTGTCCTCTGTTTGTGGCTACCGCCAGTCAGCCACTGATAGGCAATTCATTGACCTCCGTATACTATACGCTAAGTTCTTCTATAGGGAGTTTGAAGTCGCCGCTTTCATTTGTTTCACTATACCGTGTCGCCCGAGACAAGCAGTACCTACTAGCGTATATTATGTTGGAGCGTTATATTCGTAATCCCACTCACAAGCGACTGTCGTCCAGTTGAACCATGAAAACTGTATTCTCTCCTGGCTGCCGACGCTCAAACAAGAGTAAACGAAACTCCCGTATCGAGCTGGTTGTATTTCCGCCTTCAACATTCGACCTCGAGATTGAACTCGACTGAATGATGGCATGAATCTTGCTGAAAACACACGCGAACGATCTATAAGTATATGGAGGCCCTGATGAATGGAATGTCGAAGGAAAGAGTCGGAGTGGGTAGGACTCATACTGAGAGCTTACTGGTAGTCTTCATTCTACATCGACACGTCGGGGAATCGCCCAGTAAGGACAGGGAATAGCTGGAGTATACCCAGCGGTGGACTGGTCGGAAGGTCCAGTTTTCCGTCTATATGTGTGTAGCGCTTGACGTTGGAGTTCAACAACATGTCTTCAATTTGATGCGAGTTGAGCTACGAGCTAAGCTCGTGACTGGACTGACGAGTATGCTGACGTTCGCAAGCGACGGCTAAGTATATCTAAGTACAAATCTCCTAACAACAGGTCCATGAAACAACAAGGAGTTCCCGAAATGAAAGGCTAGCCAAAGCGAGTAGCAACTTTCAGCATGAATTACATGACCTGCCAAAAATCAAGAGCAAATTAGAGTGGAAGTTATACTAGGAAACGAGTTATCAAAGCTCGTGTTCGACTCGGGCGTGGGAGATATAATTTTCGGGGAGTCAGCCCCTCTCCTAAGAGAAATTAAGACCCCCCATTATGCCCCTCGACTTCATTCCTTCTTCAACTTTCGCCTGTGCTGACCCCGACGAGACTCCTTCGGATACTCGCACTCTACGTCCTTCTTCAAGCATTGGCTAACCGGCGATCCGTTAGTGCTCACGCAGACATCTCGGATGACGGTGGGTACTCACGCGCAGCTCGAGTCACCATTTTCAGACGGCGTACAAGCCATCTTCCGTCTTCTACAGAAATAACATGCCAGGAGCACTTTCTTCCGATAAAGTGGGTTATGTCGGATGCTCGATAAAGCCTCCTGTTGCTGGGTAGCGCGGCTCGGACTCGTCATCGTTGGGCCTGACTCGAATCGAAGGATGTCCGTGGTCGAGGGAGACTGATGGTGAAGAGGTATCAACGTTCCAGGAAGGCTCTCCGATTGAGATTGATCGGAGAACCATTGTGAGAGTCGTTCGTAATCTCGAGGGAGATCGATAGGTGTGAGCGCGCAGATGGGAGTGTTCGGGTTGGAGGAAGAGGTGTGAGAGTGGCAGCTTTCAAGAGACGGTGTTTGGGATGAGTACAGAGGGACGTCCAGCACGCTCTCGGCTGGGTTTATTGCAGTTTGAGCAGGAGTATGGGGTGATACATATTGGTGAGCTGGGATATTTGAAACATACGATCCATTGAAGGAAGGGGAGTATGTCGATGCAGGCTGGACGTATAGTCCAGCCTCGGGTGCCGACCATTGCGGACCAGCTACTGCCTTTTGCATAATTCTTCAGAGGTCGCGCTCTGAAGACCTTTGTTTGTTTGGTTCAGAAATCTATTGGGACTCTATTGAACCACTGAGCGCCCATCGTTGCCAGGAGCATCTAATAGAATTTCAATAGAATTCCAAGCCAAACAAACAAAAGTTTCAGAAGCTCGACCTCTGAAGAATTATGCAAAAGGCAGTAAATGACAATCAAGCGACATCAACGTCTCGCGGACCTAGGGAAGAACAGACCAAACTAACAATTATAGGGTTCAGAGGCGACCATCATCATAGTTTCCTGGCGGGGGTCATGATAATGAAATGGGCCTGTATTGACAGGGCAGGGGAAGCGAATCTCCGAGTCAAGTGACTGACCCTGCGGACCGTACGCGTATTTGGGACTCAGTTCATCGCCAATCATCGTCGAATACTCCGTAGAACCTCTCTAAAAACGAGGATACAGTGAGAATACAATCATTGGTCAAGGGAACGGCGCCGTAAACGCACCTGAGCAAAATTTCGCTCACTCATGTCCCAATAGGATATTGAACCCGGGTCATGACCAACGTTCCCAGTTAGATCCGAAGGAGAGGACGCATAATGGGCAGAGGAAGGCGGCAAGAAACCAAAATCGTTCATTGCTGGCGGCAAATAAGAGGGGAATTCGGTAAGCATATTAGTTACCGGTGAATTCCCATGAAGCCCAAGCTTTTCATAGTCCGAGCCAACGAAATGTGACGGAGAAGAACTGTCTAATGCCTGATTTATCAGACGGGATTTGACGTGGAAGTCTTCTCGGGTGATCTGGATGGGGTCGAGACAGATGTTAAGGTTTTTCGACTTCGATTTAGGATAGGTTAACAACGCACCCCAGCAGGCGAATTTCTGTTGTTCGTGTTTGCCTCTGAGCAGATTTCTTGTCTTTGACGGAGGGCATTGCAGCCTAGAAATGTTCAGAAAATGAGACTTCTTGGTATCTCGAGGCTACGAACTCACTTCTCGTATCCAACTTCGAAGAATCGCTGCTCGGCGTCGTTGCGCCACACTTGACATGAAAGTCTTCGATGGCATAAACGGGGTCATTTTGAATGGCGGGGTCAAAGTAATCTTGTGTCAACAATTGTTGAAGCTGGTAAGCAACCTCGACGCCGTCGAGAACCGTATTGGATGGATAGGAATGGGGAATTTCGTATGTGCTGGGACATGCGTGCATGGAGGCGGGTGCATATCTGGAGGACGGGCCGAGTTCTGCGATGTTTGACCATGTCTTGGGGAGTTTCATTGCGAGTCTGGCGGGTTGGAAACGATCGATCGTGAGAGGATCCACGGGCTTGAGTTAGAAGGCGAGAAGGGGGTAATCGAGGAGAAGGGAAGATGCAACGAGGCGCCTGGTAATCTATGTCCGCTGACATTCACAATTAAGGACCTGAGAATTTGAATTGGCCTCCATCAATGCGATGCAGGGATCGACTCCCCTCATTGTAGTCACGTTACCAATACAAAAGCCCAGAAGGACCTACAGCATTGAATGTGTTCGTTGCAGTGCTTTCTCCCAAAGGATTGTTGGGCTTTCTGTTGCTATCTCTAAGAAGCTTCACTGGGCGAACTTACATTGCTTACCTCTGGGGAAGGCCGAAGAGTCGAAGCGGTCCTGACGAGAGTAATCAAGGACATAAATCTCTCGCAGTGGGAGTATTCCAGACAGTCGGGAAACGAGTCAGTCAAATTTTGAAGCTGTAAAGCCGTGATGTAACTTCCAGTTTTAGGTCTAAGATTCTGCGAACACCCCGCGGATGTGTGTCAGAGCACACCAAGAACACACCTTGATACCTTAAATTTGCTTGCCGCGAAGCCCACTAGCGTAGTAAGGGCAAATGCTCTCAAGGCATCAAGGTGGTGAGTACACACCAATGTTTATTTAGTATTTATCATCTAGATAAAACAAGCGAGGGCCCAAGGACATTGATCGAGATTGTCGCTCGCAGGATTGCCACGAGTCATGGCCTACACAATGTATTCGGGACACCGACTCGGATTCAGCTTATTGTATTATGATCATCAATGGATACTAAATATCGCACCCGTTCAAAGAGCCGTCCCGAGATCTCAACGTTTTACCCAAGCAATAGCACAACATTGCGCTAGGTTGATTGTGTAGTAGCCAAGTCCGCGAAGTGATATTGATAAAGCACTCACTGTCGTCATGTGCCCCATGGCTGAGTTGGTTACAGCGTCCGACTGTTATTCAACACGCAATCGGAAGGTCGTGAGTTCGAGCCTCACTGGGGCAGTAGCCAAGACATTTTAACTTTTTGCGGGTCTTACCCATTTCCGAACCAGCCAAAGTTTCCGGGTTCGGCGCAGAAGTTCGGATGGATATCCAGTAACGGCGCCTGGTTGTGTTCCAAACGGTCGCCAAATGCGATCCGCTAGTAAAATTGGGCCATGACGTTGTGATAGTTAGTTTTAGCACAAGCCGAGGCGAGGGGAAGGACGTGATTCGGATTGGAGGAAAGTCGGATATGGCGGATCAGCGGATGAAGGTACGCAACACAGCGAAGACGTTGATTTTGGTTGTGTTATAAGTTGCCCTCCTTGCATGTTTACAACCGCTTCGTTCAAGTCCAAAGTGAAGCTCGGAAGACATGGCACGTTTCGCTTGAGTAGAGGGTATTCGAGATTGTCAATGTACGAAGAGTGTTCGATGTTTTGGATTCCAGAGTCCCTTTCGCAAGGCCGGGAATGTAGCGTCAGCACTGGATCTACATCAGATCGTCAGAGAACCGTGATAGATCCACTGGGGACATACCTTCGGTTGTCTGTATCCTATACTAGGCGAATATACTCCGTAATTATTCCAAGCCCATTCCCCCACAGACCTGCCGCCAGCACTGCATCTTCTAACATCCTTGCAAAGTTGGAGAGAGCGAGAGCGAGTCGAGATTCTCCGCTCAAGAAACTGCCGCAAGTTGATCAGTTTAAATCGTATGATATGATTGCAAAATTGGTACCTTGATCCGTCACGAAGTGTTGGTCAAAGGAAAACGGGGTGTACATGGTGCCAGCTGGTGCCAGTGGTGGTACGAAAGCAGGTTTGAGCGGAGTTTCAACAAACGTGCACGTGCTGAATTTCCGAACCTAGGCCCTGGCTTGTCTTCCGCTTTCATCTTCCTGCTCAGATTCTGCGATTCTTGACTATGGCTCGGGAACGACGATAGCTTCCGACCGACACTGAAACCGCATAAATCACCATCAAATCTGCTTCGACGTCTCAGCAACTCGGGCAGCTAGTCCAGCAATAGGTATCGGTGCCAGCTGGTTGTGATGAAGGCTCGTATAGGACTCAAGTACTCAAGCTCGACAACTGGCTCAAGGCTTCAACGCTCAGCAGCTTTAATACACTGTACTAATAAGTCATGCTCGGAACGAATGCCATCAAGCAACGCTAAAAATATGGGGACAAGCTGCAGTTTTCATCGTCGCTTTGGATACTACCTGACGGACGGACCAGCTAATTGGCTTCGAGTGGGCGCCCTCATCATGAACATTGGAGTTTCCGTTTTCATTCTCGCATCTATATTCATTGACTTGACAATGTCACCAGCCAAGAGCCTCGGAATCTGTCTGAGTCCCCAAACGTGCTCGTCTTTCTTCCCATTTCCACCTTGTTCCCTTTGACGGTATTGTGGTCGACGAATGTTGGCTGGCTTGTTTTAGCCCGAGAGAACCTTGGCCAGATACCACGCCCTGCCTATTCTAGACAGGATCGTGTCGTTGGTCAGATGATTCATGATTCCTGGGTCGCTGATAGCGGCGTTGTTCATTGTGTATGACGCGGAGCGAGGGAATTTGAGGTCGTGCAAAACGCGTTTTGAGGGCTTGGAGAAACAAACGGATATATACGAGGCCATACGGGGCTCACCCATGGAATGGCTCCAAGCATGTACACTAATACTGGGAAGCCTGAAGAAACTGTCTTGATCGATCCTTGGTTGGTTGTCATTTTATCCGCCGGTTGAAGTTAGCGGATACGAAATATTAGGCACGTCAATAATCTCAAAAACCCGAAATCTAGGATCTGTCGCCAACCCACCTGTCTTTGTTAGAACCCACAATAATCATTGGTGATGGCAGGCCGCCACGAAAATTCAAAGAACAGCGAAGCGAAGGAACACGGTCACTTGATTTCATAGTAAGTCGGCCCCCAACACCAGGTGAGGGACGTACACTGACATATCTATAATGTTGAATGCAGTTTTTGGCCAGTACCATTGACCAGACCCTCCAGAACCTTGCCGTAACCACGAGGCTTTGCACAATCTGGCTGGACGAGTATGTGCGAGATGAAAATGTGAATTCATACAAACACTGGTCTTTTTCCGGTATAATTCGCCAAGAAACAGTATACCCCTCGCCCTCCGACTCCCGACGGTGGTGCAGACATGAGGCGTGCGAAAATTCAAAACTGCCAGGGTACCGCCACGGGACTCGTACTGTTGCCTCCACACTCCCATCATCTGAAATGAAAAGGAGAGCATAAAATATGAGTCCGACGTATCCTCTTCGCGCATTTCTATACTCATTTGAACAAGGTTTAATAAATGGCACCTTGAGGAGGAGGTGCGGGGTCCGTGAGGCTGATCACTCCGACCTGTCCGGTCCCTTGCGACTCGGAGATGTCTCTCACAGACTGTCTTAAGACCTCCTGTTGCTCCGCATCCTATAACTAGGAGTGTATGATATCAGGAGCCTCTCACGTTCGTGTACATACTTTTCACCCCTCATGATGTCTTCACACGAATTACTCGCAAGCCATTCCTCAGGCTACTACCGGTCGTTACTCATAATGACGAGTTTCTTCCACCTATTCGGATGGTGTGTACCAAATTCTTGCGGTAGTTGATGGTGGAACTAACTTTGGGACTCGTAGTTCAGTCTTGAGCTTCTGTATTGCGAATCGAACGCCGCGTAGATGGTCAGAGTGGCGAACTTTGAGCTGGGGAAAGGCGTGCATGATTCTGCTCTTATGTGATTCGTAAGTTTTTCAAACTCCCTACTCGTCAACAATGTTTATTGTTCCTTATTAGATGGATATTCGTTTTCATCTGTGAGCTCAGACTCGACTAGAACGAATTAGCTCACCGACTCTAATACCCTTCAACGAACGGCGGTAGCTGGACTCATGACAACTGGTGTATCAACATTCCGTGACCCTGTCGCGTGTTCATTCACGATCATCGTTTGCGTGATATTCCAAGGAAGTACCAAAGTTCGTTTTCCGATCTGGCCTTCTGAGCACCTACTAATTATCGAACATAGGTCCTGATATACGCCTACCTCGTTGAGAAGGTTCGTAAGCGTGCTCGCCTATCCATAGGTCTGCCGCTCAAAGAGAAGCTTGCCAGGTTTACATCGTCTGGTCGGACGGATATCGCACACCACGGCTACAAACCAGGATATACAAGATTTGTCTACTCTTTCAGCTGGGATATGTGGCTATCGACATCATGTTTCTTTCTGGAAGATCGAGCCGAATCGCAGAAGACGGAACATGCCTTTTGGGGTATAAGAACTACGCGTGGGTCGGGCAATCTCTGTGGGCCTCTCATAGACTGACTTTGGGCTCTTCTACAGGTCGATATCCCTAATTGTATACGATTTCCTGCAAAATCTGTTCTTCACGGTCATGTTCTACTGGCCGTTGTATAAGTCGAAGATCTTTAGCCCTGCGCTGAGGGCGGTGGCAAAGAGGACACTGATGTGAGTTCTGGCAGCTCACCATTGGCGCACGCATCAGTCTCACCTTCCATACGATAGTGGAGCCATCGCAGGCTTGCTGATATTAGCCGTAAGGATAGGTCCCGGGCTTGCAAGCGTTAACTTGAAGCTGATCGCCTCCTTAGGCCAACGTCTCGATGGTCATTGCTATGGGTGGATACCAAGTCGTGTGGGTGTGTATGACGAGTTGCGCGTTGGATGTAAGTCTTCCAGCCCGTTTTCCGTTTAGCCACCGACCCCTTTCTGCAGGTGATACTGAACGCACTGATCATGTACTGGGTCTCCTCCGGTATCTCATCAGACTCCATCAACCACTTCACTTTACCCACGATCAACATGGTGACACGGAACGATTTGACCGTGAATACTTCTAAAACCAACGATAGCGTCAGCTCTGGAGACACCATCAACACTCTGACAACGATTGCGAGCCTGAGAACGGCTGAATACACCGGCCATACCATATCGACACGGAGGTCGGCGGACTTGGGGGTGGTAGAGGTCAGTAACGTCCCCACGCTAAGCACGCTATAGACTCTAACGATAGCCAAAGATATTCAAAGCCAGCACGGAAGAAGTCTCGGCGGAATGAGATCGACGTAACGGATGTCAGTCTTTTTTGCCCACCACTCCTTTCCCCCCTTAGCTCAAATCCTTGTGTTGCTCTCTGTTTCTGAAGATCATGCTGACGGAAAAGAACGATATCTATATCGTTTCTCACTTAAGTACCCCTATTCTATTGTAACCTTGGTTTCTTACCATATCTTATACCCCAATAGTTTTGCTTAGTCTCCCCTGGGTAGGGCATATCTTAGCTCGCTACGCTCGTTGGGTCGATACTTACTGGGATTACTTCTTTGAGCACGGGTAGTCGCTTTCGTTACCATATATACGCAGGATCAACAGCTAGGATGGTAAAACCATGGAAAGAAGCATCGCTAATAATAACAAAATTCAAAGCCAAAAATTTCAAAACAACCAAGTCCACAAAGTTGAAAACACGTCCTGTCCTCATAAGCCAGTCTAGTTCGAACGGTGATCGGTGTCTGAGTAGCCATGACGAGGTCGTTTGCCCCCCAACAGCGGTTTGTAGGCTCCCATTGGCGGGACAAACGACGCCTCAGAGGGGATCGTGCTCTGTCGTTTCCTCTTCGAAAGGAAAACCCCTGCAATGGCGCCCGCGACGACAAGCAAGACCACAATACTCAGAGTAGCGATGAATCAGCGTTCCTTGTACACCGGCGTGTCCACATTGTTCTCTTCGCCGGCGGAAGCGGTAGCGATACGAAGTTCCTTCCGAACTTTCTCGTTAAACTGGAATGTCGTAGCTGGGCTGAGTCACATGTCCCAGTCGTTCAAGTTATCGCGGTTCCCAGTCACTCGGAGGGCCCGAGCAAGAATCTTGTAGGTGCCATCTGATACGAGCGTGCCGTTGTTGAATGTGACGTTGTTGAGTGGGAACAGGATGACACCCTGATTCGGGGTTGCAGACTGTTTGTAAATTCGAAAGGTG